AATAAATCTCTGTGTTCTTTTGTTGGATCTATTTTCCCCCACATGTTACATAAAGATCTAGAGATTTGGGAGATTTTGTTGTTGTTGTTATGAACTCAGCAGACTGGCTATAAATCAGGGAGGGGAAAATCTAGTAACTGATATCACTGTGGTTTTAAAATAGTGGCAAAACATCACTTTAATCAGACAAGTGCCTAATTTAAGCATTTTTATTGTTTATGTTATCAAAGACGTTTCCAGCCAGACATAGCCTGTAGGCATACTAGGTGGAAAAGAGAGTGACTTGGTTCTGTGAAGAGGCTTCCCTGCAGGGCAGGAGCTGCCAGGCTGAGCAGGTAGGGAACCAGGCAGAGGGTGTGCTACAGGCCGCTCACCTGCATGCAGACATACAGGAAGAAGCTGAGGAACAGCACCCGCCATGTATCAGGTGTGTCCCTCAACACAGGTGTTGACTTATGAATTTTCTCTTTCAGTCTCTCCCAGACTCTCCTATTAACCTGTGGTTACTTTTCAAATCTCTGTACTTCCCATTTTCTGGTGACACTGGAGTACCCAAACCATTTCTCCTGGTTCCTTTCTGGCCTGGTGGCAACCATATGATTACTGAACCAAACCCATGTAAGTGACATCTATTCCATCGGACTTTAAGTGGATCTTTGAGCAATGCCTGTTGCTTTGACAGTCATTTCAGCCTGACCTATTCAGAAGCCAGGCTTGGGGAGGTGTCTCTGTGGTGGTTGGGATGGCTACCCCACAAAGATGACAGTGGACACAGACTAACAGATCATAAACGCAGAGTCCTCTCCACATAAGCTGGTTATAAGACTTCTATTTCACGTTTAGTGTTTAGGCTTCATGCTTTGGTGTTGAGTAGCTGTTAGTGGCTTTTGCTAACTAGCATCTCTTCCCTTTCCTTCAGTTTTTCTTTTTCTTGAGAAGCACTTTCCCTCTGTGATCCTGGTGAGATGCCCTTAGGAGACCTCACCAACCGCCACTCCAGATGTGTGTGTGTGGCTGAACAGATTGAAGCTCCTCCATCTCTCAGGCCACATTGACTGACTCAGGTGATGACATGTGCTGGAGGCTTCCCTGAAACTGCTGTATGGAAAGGGGATGGAGAAAGACCCATCTTTCTTTGGGATTCTCGGGTCCAAAGATGTAAATCTGAGGCTGTTAGTGAAAATAAAGCCAACTTACAGAGGAAAACTACCTGAAGAGCCAGAAAAGGAATTTTGACAGCATTCAGCCAGCCCCTGGGTCTTGCTTGAGCCAATATACTGATGAACACCCTCAGTTACATGGCCAAGTACATTTTAAGCAAAATTCTAAACCTAACCAATTTCAACATAGGCTTCCATCCTTATAACCAAATGAATTTGTACCTGTCAAACTCAAGCATATTAGTCACAGAACTGAGAAAATATTCTCTGAGTCAGTTATGAATTCAGGTGTTGCATCTCCTGAAGTCTACCATTGAGTGTGGTCTATTATTTAGTATTCTACTTATTTATTTAGTTTTAAAACTTATTAAAAAGTTGCAAAGAAAAACATCATCCCATCCTGGCTATTTAGCAGTTAAAGCAGGCTGCACAGTGAACTGTGCTCTTGTAAGAGAACTTATTATGTAGCTAAAAGCAAGGAAAACTGGTACTAACTTGAACCATAAAACACAGAAACCTCCCGATTATTACACTGATAATTAAGATGCCTGAAATTACTATGCATAACATGTAAGAGAAACTTAATTACAAGTCCAAATGGACAGGTTTAGGTCCGTAACCAGACAAGTCACGACTTGAGAAGTCAAGCTTGTCAGCTGGCCCTGGAGAACTGAGCTCCTGTTATCTTCTTTGAAAACAGTGCCACTCGACCAGAGACAAAGAAAACATGGAGAGATGCCACCATGTCTTGGAAGAAGCCTGGTCAGAATGTCCACCCACACAGACCAACAAAGACGGCTACTGAGTTGTGGGCTACAACTTCCTTTGGCTCAGAGTCTCCAAATGTCTGCCTCCAATCCAAGTTCTCCAACTCCTGACCACAAATTCTTATCTTATCCTTTGTGGTGTGCACACCGACGGGTGAGGCGGCTGTAGCTCCAGGAGACGGCCTCCTACCCTGCACCTCTGCCTCCACCAACCTTGAGATCATTCCTTGTTCAAAACCTTGCCAACGCCCCTCCTGCCAGCTAAAGTGTAAAGCAGTAGCTCCCCCAATGGTGGCATACAGGGTCTCTACACGCTCGGTCAGTGCTGAAGTGGTATCGGGCCACCTAACCATGCTGCCTCCTGGGAAGCCTATAATTTAGCCAACGTGCCCCATTTCGTACTGCTTTCCTGCCTGGGAATTTGCTGTTTTCTCTCAATGAGAAGAGCCACTATTTATTTATTTACCAAAGAGATCTTAGAAACTGTTTCCTTGAACTCATTTTCCAGATGAGGAAAAATAGACCCAGGTTAGATTATCTGACCAAGGTCAAGTGATTTATTAGTTACAGACAATCTGGCCTAGGAGCCTTGACTCACAAGTCAGTATTTTCTCTCTGTGGAAGAGAACTGCCTGTCCTTCAGAGCAGAGGTAGGTTTTTTGTTTTTTGTTTTTTCTACATGCTGACAGAGAACTGACTGGGATCTCACACACAAACTAATATAAGAAGGTTTTTGTGAAGATGTGGGGCTTTCTATGGCCAGAGTGTTCTTCCAGGTACCATGCAGACAGGCAGAATGGCCAAATCAAAAATATTCCATATGCCTGCCTTGCTCAACATTCAGAAATAAGAAGCCTGGGGCTGGGGAAGCATTCCCTAGAAGAACTGGTCCTGAACCAGTGAGTTCTAGCTTGTAAAAGCTCCAACTAGAGGAAACTCAAGTTTAGACAGAGCGTGGAAAGCTGGTGACAGCTACTTCAGATAGTGCTTTTGAAATCACACCTAGTTTCATGACCTCAGCACGAATTAGGAGCCCAGAAAATGGAAATAACTGTACAGACAGAGAACGAGAACACAGGACAACAAATAGAGAAATGTCACTCCATCTACCTTCATCTGTGTGAAACAGGAAGACCAGCTTCTCTGGGTTTCTCCCTGGTCCCCACGCCCCACATAATGACTAATTTTCAAGACCACAGGCCTGCAGTGCCGCTGAAACCCCAAATACCATCGCTCCCCTCCTATCGCCCAGAGGATGGCGGGGGAAGACGGCAGAAAAGCACCTGACAGAATGTCTAAACAGAAAAAAAAAAAAACAGTTCTTCAGGCTCTGCTAACAGAATGTTCTTGTTTGGAATTCAAGAATGCTGCTTTGAAAAACTCCCTTCAAGTTTAAAAATAATAATAAAGAAAAGTCCCCACTGGCAGGGACCAGGGGTGGGGGGTGGGGGTGGGATAAGGATCTATATGTGCTTTCTGAAAAAACAAAAGAATAATTCAAGAATGCCAGCCCTGAGTAGGCATACACAAAAATACTTGACTGCTAAGATCCTGCCCCTCCACTTGAATATTAGAGTTGAGCAACTAACCTCTCTCACAACAGGGCTGGACCAAGTCTTTAAGAATCTCCATAGAAATAATGCCATGTATAGCACACTACTACACAATTGCGAACATTTATTTTATTATGCATTTGGTTTTATTAAGCAGAGTTTCATGTGGCCTGTATGGACCTCAAACTTGTTATACAGCCTAAGGTGGCTTTGAACTCCTGAACTTTAATCCTCCACCTGTCAAGTATTGGGATTACAGGTTTGCTGACACACTCCTGCTTTCAGTATTTTATTTTAAAGGTGTATTACTGTTGGGCTGGGGGTGTGTGTGGCTCAGTGGTAGAGCGATTGTCTAATGTGTAAAGGATGAGGTCTTCCCATCACTGTAAAGAAAAAGTATATGATTATTTCATGGGCTGACCCAGGTCACCAGCATGTCCCGGAATACTGATAGGAAGAGAGGAGGAGGAGGAGTGTTAATGAGAGAAGATCAGGAATTTAGCACTTGGTCATTGGATGTCCTCAGGCAGAGCAATCAGCTCTCTCCTATGACTATAAGGATGACTGCAGGTAGCAGCTTGGTGACTCAGGAGAAGCTGGGCACCACTGGATAACACATGATTGCTATGGGCTAAAGGTTCTCACCTAGACCTCAGCTAGCTGCTGAACGGACTGTCGTCATTCTACCTGGCCAGATATAGAAACACAGCAGTGACAGAGGAAGACGACAAACCCGTTTTTGTAATGAGGACACTAGTTTTGTTTTGTTTTTTGATTGGCCTAGACCTTGTGCTTTAGGTAAAAGCTTAGTGATAAGATTTAGGGAAGTTTAACTCATCAAATTTTCATCTGCTTTATACTGCATCTTTTTTGTTCAGCAGTATGTTATCTGGGGGGGGGGGTCCACCTTGAAGAACACAAAGATTTCTACATGCTATAATTCATGAATGAAGGCCACATGTCGTGTGTGGTATATGGTGACTTCAGATCCACTTTCAAGAATGTCAGAATGTCACTAATTTTTTACTAAAATATTTTTATGCTGTGTGGTCAAGAATTGATTTTCTATTACTTTATCATTTAGTAGAAGAAAGCAGAGCGAGAGCTCCCAAGTCTTATAAAATTCGCTGTCCTTGGACTAAGTGCTTTTTATTTCTTCACATCTAATGTGTTGCATACTATAATCAGCACTGTACTTCAGACCTTGGGCCTGGGGGTGGTTCTAAAGGACATGCATTTTGAAGTGAACAGAACAGCAGGCATCCTTTCTTTCCTTCGGTCGCCACAAGCCCTCCGTGCATTGAGAGCATCTTTATACTTGTGGTTGTGGTTTCAGAGCCGATACCACCCAGAGGGAAGAAAACACAGAAGAGGCAAACAGTGGAGAGCATCCCTCAGCCCCACTGAAGGACTCTGTGGGACAGCAGTGATGAAGGGACCGGGTGGCTTACGTGACATTGCATTTGACTGAGGAAGACCGGTGACTCCTCTTTCTGCCTGAGAACTGGTATTTGTATTAGGGAAGAGCACATCCAGCTTCATCTTTAGAACTAAAAGCAATGGGGCATGAAACTTGCTTTCAATAAATAGATGTCAATCTTCATCCAATGAGTCCTGGCATATGAGGAAGCCTATGAAAGCCAGCACGTTATTGCAAGCAGCAGCTTTCTGCTCTAATTCTATGAGGAAATGCTGACTTTGGGGCTAAGGTTGTAGCAGTCTATCAATTTTTTAAAAAAATCTTTATATAAAGCTCCACATCTTTTTTTACCCCTTACAAAGGGGGAAGGAAGAAAGCATATGGACTCCTATTTTCTATGTCTCAGTACAAAAGCTTTAGAAGGATGGGAGGCTTAGGAGGGGCACTTTGTTGTCAAGATGGAGTGTGGGCCAGGTACAGAAATGGGGGTGAGTTTTTAAAATATAACATTCTATTACCTCATGTACTAATGTGAATATACTACTGATTCAAAAATCAAGTCTACTAAAATAATAAAATTAAATAGAGTTATAAACAAAGAAAAAGCCATATAAACAAGATGCTGTGTTTGGGAGGAATACCAATCCATCAAAATAAGATATGGTGGAGCATGCATATGATTATGAATACATTTATTAAATGTTGTCGTTGAAACTGGGTGGTAAATACTTAGGGCTTGTTGTATTATTCTCATGCCATTTTGGTAAGATTAAAATATTTCAGTACTCCAAAATAATTTGTAAAGGATATTTTTTATTCCATTAAAATGTTTATTCTTAAACCAGAGGGGTAAGGTCCTTGCAAAAATGGGGGCTGTGTATGGCAATCCATACTCACTGTTCACTCATTCATTTCATTACTTGTTATAGTTTCTGGTTTACTAATCTCACATCATTTTGGTGAATTATTGCATGGTATGACACCTTCGGTAAGACATTAATGAGGCAAAGACTTCCACCTTTGGGTCTATATTCCCAAGCCCTGGGAAGTTCGTGGCAAAGTTGTGGTGACTTTATATCTCTGAGAGATTTTTTTTTCTCTAGTACTCTGTGGATTCACCTTGATGGTTAATCTTGAGTTTTAACTTGACGGGATTGAGACTACTTAGGAGACTATTAAGCACACCTCTAGGAGTATCTGTGATTCTGAGAAAACTAGACCACATAGACTTTGCCCTAATCAAGTTGACCCATGGATAGACTCAAATTTGAAGTAGACAATTGGGAGGTGATGGAAGCCTGGAAGGACGGAGCTGGAGGAAGTGGCTGTCTGGGGGCGTATCTTGGTGCGGTGCCTTCCTGTTTCTATGCTTTTGACCTCTATGAGGTGAGCAGCTTTTTTCCACCATGCCCTTCCTCCATGATGCTTCTGCCTTACCACAGAGTTAAAAAGCCAGCAGAGCATAGGCTGGAACCGTGAGCCAAGATAAACCATTCTTCCTTTAAACTGTTTCTCTCAGGCATCTCTCACAATAACTCACAGTCTAACAGGTCAAGCTCAGACTGAGTTGACTCATGCTCTGGTTAACTGAGGTCCACTGGATGGTTTGGGTCAGTTGTATGCTGTAAGAAACCTCTATGATCAGGGCAGAATGCCAATCTCCAGGTCAAGGGATACTCTGATATTTGGCTCAGAGTCTTGGGGTCATTTTGGACTCTTGGTAAATCATTAAAAGGAAACTTTTGTTTGGATGAAAAGCAAAGGCTAGGGTCACATGGAAACTACTCAGTTTCCTTAGATCACTCAGTACCAGAAGTATCATCTAAATACAGACTCCTGAATTCTCTTTCAGGTAGCTGTTTAGTAGTCAGCATAGGATTTCTAAGTCTGGTGGACTTGGTTTACTAAGGTTCAACCAGCATACAGCATTTTACACCTTCAAGAGAACACTCCTAGTCCCACTTTCTCAATAAGCCATCATTCCAAGAGTATCCCTGCATCAGAAACCACAAAATAGCCTTTTCATACCTGAGTTCCATTCCTGACAGTTACCTGGTAAGGCTACTGTATTTGGTTCCATTTTACAGGCAAGAACAACTGAGGCTTACAGAGTTTGAATATCAAGCAAATTACTTAAGGTCACTGATGGGAGGATCAAAATTCAAAGTCCACACGTCTCGTTTAGAAAGTTAGTTTTTCTGTTACAGCACAGTACCTTCGTCATAATCAGCTTTAAAAACATCATCTAATTAAATAATAATAACATACATATTACATATTGCTTGAGCATAGGTAAGGTAATCTATAATGGCTGTCACCTAAAATTTTTTGTTTATGACTGTAAAGCTATTAAAAAGATAACTATTCAAAAAAAAAATCAGAAGAGGCCAGGCGGTGGTGGCCCACACCTTTAATCCCAGCACTCAAGAAGCAGTATCAGGCAGATCTCTGTGAGTTCAAGGCCAGTCTGGTCTACAGAGCGAGATCCGGGACAGGCACCAAAGTGACACAAAGAAACTCTGTCTCCAAAAACCAAAAAAAAAAAGAAAAAGAAAAAAAAAAGAAAAAGAAATATGATAACTATTGAATTTTCTTGCACTGACAAAAAGAGAACTTAAAAATTTAATCAAATTATAAACTTCAAAGACTATATAAATCTTACCTTCTTCAGGTTTCACATCTAGTAGTTCATCTATTGGTCCTTATGAGAAGCAAAAGAAAATGAATTATCAGTTAATTCCATTTTGTAAGGAGTTTGAGTAAATGATTAAAACTGGAAAGTCTGTCTTTCGATTACCTGAGCATGCATCATGTGCAGAGCTTGTGTCTACAGATGACAAAATACCTTGTCCATCTTCAGCTGAAACACAACATATGCAGTTGGTTAGGAGCCGCCCACAGTGGTACATGTATGTTTATATACCGTGTGTGAGGGAAATGTACCGTTTGCAAAGAGTGAATGATCTAAACTTTCTCATGTGAAGCAGTGGTCCTCAGTTTACCTTTTACTTCAGCGGCTGGCTCTGAATGAATTTAAATTTGGAATTTTAATTTTGTGTAATTAATTTATTTAATTAATGTCCACATTTCCAAAGAATCTCTGTTTTGTTTGACAGAAAACCCATACAATACTCTACTATACTGTTCTTTTTTCCACCCATGGAAAAATGAATGACTTAAGTAATTGACTACTACTAGGTATCATTAACAAATTTTAACCATATGGGTTTGGCTAAAATGAAAAAAGGAATATTGAATTCTCAATAAAGAATCTTTTTTTTTTTTTGAAGTCTGAAAACCCTGTATTCTCTAATTCTGGGGAAACCTGCAGAGACAGTAAAAAGGCCAGTGGATGCGAAGGGCATGCTTGGTGGGTGAGGAGGTGAGAGGGAGAGACAGAGAGCAGGGAAGCAGGTGATATTTTATATGGCACTTTAATGGAAAAAACGAACCGTTTCAGATTTATAACAGAACACTAAAAGTGAGCACTATATCAACTGTGGACTTTGGGTGATAAGGGTGTTAACTATTTAGGCTTGTTGGTTATACAAACACCACGCTGGTATAGAATGTTGATAGTAAAAAGTACCGTACGTGGGGGCAAAGGTACATGGGAAACCTCTGTGCCTTGAACTCAGTCATGGCGTGAACTAACAATGGCTTACAATAAGCACTCAAGCATGGTTATACACGCATGCGTACACACGTGACAGGACAGCCTCAAACTCAGTTTGTTCCTATGCTCATCAGACCTTCTATAGGTCCCCGAATGAAGGGCAGTGCCACTTCATCATAAGGGATTCACAATCTCCAAATATGCAAATATCACACCCAACTAAATTATATAAGGAAAGAGAAAAGCTGCATTTTCTTCTCTATAGTCACATACTGTACAAATCTACATAAGTTATAAAGATTTGAAACTTTTATATGAATATAATAAAGCGGAGTTTACATTTTTCTGAAGAACTAAATATGTTCTACTCTATGACCTTGATTTCCATACAATATTGATGGTTCATGCCATAGGTTCACAGAGGGCACTGAAGCTGGAGGCCTGGATCAACAGAGATAGCTCTTCCAGAGCCACAAAATCAGGCCTAGCCTCTCCACTGCTTACTTCTCCTCAGACTCTAGAGTGCCGCTTTTCTGGCGTTGCCTTGTTCTCCCTGGCTCTTTCCTTTGCCCAGGCTGTTTCTTTTTCTTTGACTAGTCTTACAATAGCAAACGGCTTTAGCTTGTCCCCCGATTCCCTCAATTACGTGAGGCCTCTGTAACGCACACCCAGAATGCTGGCCTTCGCTTAGGTAGTTCTGACCAGCATCATTACAGCTGGAGATGGGAGCAGTTGCTACTATCTGCTTCCCCTGTTGACTGGGAGCCTCATTCCAGGAAGGTCCGGCTGTGTGGGTGTGTAACATTTTCTGGTGGAGCTTCGTGCTATGTGGGGCACTGAGGTGGAGTTAGAAAACACCTCTGAGGTAAAAACATCTGAAAATGACCTTTAGTTTCCTTCCAATGCCCTTGTCTCCGCCTCCCAAGCACGGATGGATTAGAGGCCTGTACCACCACACCTACCTGTTCGTTTGTTTGTTTGTTTTTTTCTTATTTCCTATTTTCTACTGAAGGCAGATTGGAAACAGAGAAGGAGAGAGTAAAGGCGGAGGGGGTAGGGTGGGGTCAGGTGTGTGGGTGCAGCAAGTGGTTGGAAAAGTAGGAAGAAGAGCCAGGATGAAGGAGAATGGAGCAGAAGGAAAGTTTTAGGCCTTGCTTCACAGGTCTCCTTTCCTGGGCAGGCTTCCCTGGCCTCTCTCAAGGCAGGGAAGATGGGAGTGTGTCCCCAGGGGGGGCCTGTCTGAACAGAAGGTTGGGTGAATTTTGTTATCGACATAACATCTTTAGTTACCTGTATAATGTAAATCACTTTTCCATCTGTGAAGATCTTAACTCCTGGTGAAGGGTTCAGCATTGTTACATATTGGTTTTAATATAGTTTACCATACTCTGTACCTTTATGGTAAGGAGCCAAGAGAAAATCTGGCAGCAGTGCAGGAGCCAGAGACAGCAGAATGCCACATCAGAGTGCCACCTCTCAAGGTAGGCTTCAGTT